CCATCTGCTGAATAAATTCTGAGTTCAGGGACTTAACTTCATAAATCTTGGGCATATGAGAATAATTAAGAAACAGTTGTGAATTATTTGGCTGAATGAATAAGTAACAGGTTTTAAAACTTTATTTTTATTGTTTTGAAAAGATTAAGAATATTGATTTACTTATCCTCACGATATTAAAAAAAAGGTTCACAGTATGACCAATGATACTCAATTTATTCTGTTTTGAGAACAATTTTAGCAAAGCAAATTTGGATGGAATGGAGGTCTGGAGTCTGTTAAAGATTCACGTCTTTGAGCTGTGTTTCAAACAAGGGTCTCTATGGTTGGACTTGGAGACGAGGTGAGTTGGTTGCTGGAGAGGAAATGAATATTATGCTGTTTGCAGGAGCTGGGAAGATAACGGATACACACTGCAAGCACACAATTCTTACAAAAGCCAAAAACTCAAAATAGAAGGGAATCAGTTATGCTTGCTCAAATGTAGAATAGGAGTTGAAGGTTATCTTAGTTTGGCTTCTGTTGCTGTGATAAAACACCATGACCAAGGCAGTTTGGGGAGGAAAGGATATATTTGGCTTATATGTCTCAGATTACAGTCTACTGAAGGAAGCTGAGGTAGGAACTAAAGTAGAGGCCATGAGTAAATGCTGCTTGCTCCTCACAGTTTGCTTAGTTTGCTTTCTTATACACCCCAGGACTGCATGCTTGCCGTGGACTGGACCCTCACACATCAATCCTCAATCATCAAGAAAATGCACCAGGCTTGACGAAAGGCAATCTAGATTTGTATCTTGGTCCCCTACCCCACCCATTCATTTACTCTATTTAAAAGGTTTGAAGTAATGGCATCTTAGGAAGCGATAGACCCAGTCAAATGATGGAGGGAGGTGTGGGATGGGGCCTCAGAGTTGGGTGCAGTGGGAGGACATCATTGGGTATGGAGTTGGGACGACCGATATCAATGCTTAGCAATTGATTGTCTTTATCAATTAGTATGCTTATTGAACATTCCTGGACCAGAGGATTATCAAGTTAGCCAACTAGGACATGGCAGGGGTGGTTACAGGGTAGGTCAGGTCATTTGTATTTCCTCATCCAACTATGGTGATGTGTCATAAGGCTGGGGACGTGTCTGATAAAGATGTTGATGAGGTAGCAGCAGACTGATGGAAGTGACGCCCAACTGGGAGGTAGCAAACAGGGACAAGGAATGGAAGGAAAGGAGGGAAGGAAAGAGAAATAATGGAATAGAATATATTGCTGTTTTGTTACGTTTAGTTGTCTTGTAGCTGTGT